TAAACTTTTATCAAAAGTAGGCAATCACACAGGACAGTGGCAGATACAGCTTATTTCATAGGAGCTTCCCTTGGCCTCCAGAAACCTCAGAGTGACGTGCCCCTGACTGTCAGAGACCACTGGGTAGGGTCTCACCAGATCTGGAAACTTTGATCCTTGCTTTGATGCTGCCCTTTCCAAACGGGCTCACATCAGCATTCGGAAAGAACACAGGCTAGCAATCTACGCACTGTGCTTTAACCCAACACCTTCAAACATTGGACTCTTCGTATCTTGAGCCAAACTTCTTGTAAGGCCACATCCTTATCCAAGTAGAGCAGCAGAGTGAGGACCCAGAGCTCCCGAACAATGTCTCTGCTTCTGCTTTCCCAAAGCCCGTTTCTTCACATCTTACTCGGTACCTTTTCACTTCCACCATAGTGCTTACCACTAGTTTTAACTGCATGTGTATTTGCTTATTTACACGTGTGCTGTTTGACTTTCCCACAAGACTGCAGCAGACCAAAACCACGTTCCCCTCGTCACTGAATATGCAATGCCTAGTACAGCGCCTAGCACGTGTTCAATAAATATTCATCCAACAAATGAATGAACAAGGAATATTCCACTAATTCCAAATGTTTTGGCACAGTTGAAACTTGTGTGCCCATTAAGGAAGACAGGGCGTCACACCTAAAGCACAAGCAACAAAATAAAAAATAAACAAGTGGGACATCAAACTAAAAAACTTCTGCACAGCAAAAAAAAGCCATCAACAAAGTAAAAAGACAACCTACTGAATGGGAGGAAATATTTGCAAACCATATGTCTGATAAGGGGTTAATATCCAAAATATATAGAGAACTCATACAACAGCAAAAAACCAAATAACCCAGTTAAAAAGATGGGCAAAGAACGTGTACAGACATTTTTCCAAAGAAGACATACAGATGGCCAAGAGGTACCTGAAAAGATGCTCAATATTGCTAGTCATTAGGGAAATGCAAATCAAAACCACGAGATATCACCTCACACCTGTCAGAATGGCTATTATCCAAAGGACAAGAAATAACATGTTGACAAGGAGGTGGAGAAAAGGGGACACTTGTGCACTGTTGGTGGGAATGTAAGTTGGTGTAGCTACTATGGAAAACAGCACAGAGGTTCCTCAAAAAATTAAAAGTAGAACTACCATATGACCCAGCAATTCCACTTCTGGGTATTTATTTGAAAAAAATGAAAACTCTTAATTCAAAAAGATATCTGCATCCCAATGTTTACAATAGCCAAGATACAAAAATAACCTAAGTGTTATCAATTGATAAATGGATAATGAAAATGTGGTATGCATACAACGGAATACTATTCACCCAAAAAAGTGAACAAAATCTTGCCATTTGCAACAATATGGATGGATAGTGAGAGCATGATGCTGAGTGAAATAAATCAAAGAAAAAGAACATATATTGTGTAATTTCACAAATATGTAGAATCTAAAATATCAAACTCAGAGAAAAAGAGATTAGATTTGTAGATACCAGGGTGGGTGGGTGGGTGCAGGGGGCAGGGGAGGGACTGGAGGAAGGTTGTCAAAAGGTGCAGACATCCAGTTCCAGTAAGTCCTAGGGATGTGATGTGATGTACAGCACGGTGACTGCAGCAAACACTGCCATATGATACGCAGGTAAGTTAAAACAGCAGATCCCAAGAGTTCTCATCATGAGGACAAATTTCCTTTTTTTATTGTATCTGTGTAAGATGATGGATGTTAACCATACTTACTGTGCTAATCATTTCACAATATGGTTGACCCTTGAACAACACAGGGCTTATTGGTGCCCACCCTCCAAGTAGCAGAAAATCCTTGTATAACTTAGTTGGCCCTCTGTATCCACGGTTCCACATCCATGGATTCAACCAAATGTGTCATGTAGGACTGTAGTATTTACTACTGAAAAAATTCTGTGCCTAAGTGCACCTGCACGGTTCAAGGGTCAACCATATAAGCAAATCAAACCATCGTGTGGTACAACTTATACAGTGATGTATGTCAATTATTTCTCAATAAAACTGGGGAAAAAGAAATATATAACTGGACACACAGCAGCCAAAAAGATGAAATGGTGCAAACAGCATGCTGGGGGCTTTGGGGTTTAAAATGGAGGCAAATTTTTCTAAGGTGGCATCAGAGAATTTTAAGGAGGGTAAAACCAGATCTTTACTTTAAATCACTTGTGAGGCAGAGTGGAATGGCAGGAAAGCCTGCTGCAATCACCCCCACATGCAATGAAGGTGTAAGCTGAAGCGAGGCAGTGGGAGAGATCTGGTGAGCTGACTGGATGTGGAGCCACGGTGGAGGAACGGAGAATGAACTTCACGTTTCGGGCACATGCTACCGAATAACCAGGTAAACACGGGAGGAAGATGAGATGGGGATGAGAGAGACCACACTCAGGTTTGGAGCTTAAGGAATTAATGCAATGACCATTCATGGATCTAGATGTATGGGGACCACTCAACGGTGATGTCTGGCCGGGAGTCAAAGAAGTTGCATGTAGTCAGCACAGAGGTTTTAGATAAAGACTTGGGCAAAGATGAGATCCTCCAATGCTGAAATCAAAGGCCCAAAGACGAGACCTTGGGAATTCCAATATACGAGTAAGGCAGGAGAGAAACAGAGTGAAAAGGCAACCTACTGAATGGGAGAAAATATGTGTAAGCCATGTATCTGATAAAGGGTTAGTCTCCAAATATATAAGGAACTCCTACAATTCAACAGCAAAAAAACTAACCCAGTTAAAGAGTAAAGGACTTACTTAAATAGATACTTCTCCAAAGAGTACATACTGATGGCCAACAGGTATTTGAAAAAATGTTCAACATCACTAATCATCAGGGAAATGCAAATGAATACCACAATGAGATATCACCTTATAACTGTAAGGATGCTATTATCAAAAAAAAACAAAAGACAACAAGTGATGGGGAGGATAAGGTGAAATTTGAGCCCTCATGTGCTGTTGGTGGCAGTGCAAAATGGTACAGCTGCTGTGGAAAACAGTACGGAAGTTCCTCAAGAAATTAAAAATACAACATCCACATGATCCAGCAATCCAACTTCTGGGTATCTATCCAAAAGAACTGAAGTCAGGATCTTAAAGACATATTAGCACTCCCAAGTTCACTACAGCATTATTCACAATAGTCAACATGTGGAAACAACCTAAAGGTCCACTGACAGAGGAATGGATTAAAAAGTGTAGTATATACATACAATGGAATACTGCTCAGCCTTAAAAAACACGCATGAGCCTTGAGAACATTACGCTAAGTGAAACAAGCTAGTCAGTCACAGAAAGCCAAACACTGGATATTCCTCTTACATAAAAGTATCTAAAAGAGTCTAATTCGTAGAGTCAAAGACTGGAATGGTGGTTGCCAGGGGCTGGTGGGAGGGGGAGTGGGTAGATACTAATCAACAGGCATAAAGTTTCGGTTAAGCAAGATGAGAACAGTCTAATGTCTGCTGGACAGCACTGTAGCTACAGTCAACAGTACCATAAACGTGTCATATACTTAAAAAGTTAAGAGGGTAGGTCTTGTGTGGTATTCTTGCCACAATAAAAAATAAAATTAAAATTAAAAAAAAAGAAAAGAGGAAGAGGAGGAGTTAGGCAGAAGGACTGAGAAAACCCAGAGAGAAGTCTTACTTGAGTCTACGGAGAAGCTTCAAAGGAGTTCATTCTGCTGTCGAGAAGTCATTCAAGGGAAGAATTGAAGAGTGTCAACTACATTTGGTACAGCATGAGCTAAGACAACCTTTACGGGCCATTTTGGAGTGACGCAAGAGAAAGTCACAATCTTCGGGGATAGTATCGGAAAGTCAGGAAATAGAGGTAGCGGAGTGCAGAGAACGCTTTCAAGAAGCTTTGTCGACACACTGGAGGATTATCTTACTGTACTTTGTGGTAAAACAAACTTTCCAGGCATTCTTTAGGAAAGATTTAATAGGGATTAATAACGTTTGCTTACTCCTAAAATAGACTAAAACCCCATGGACAACAAGGCAAAAAGGAAAAGGGGGGGGGTCATTAAATTTGTTAAAGATGATATAGATTATTCAATGAACGGTGTTACAGAACTTTCACAGTTGTCAAAACAAAAACAACAGTGAGTTGTCACACATTACGGTGATGCTCACATGATGTAGACGTGTCTCTGGATGAGTATCACCAAGACTGAGGACTGAGTGGATTCAGAGCCCAAACCCAGCACGTGGTCGGGAAATTAGACAGTCAAGAGGCCAAATGCCCCCTCAGGAAGGAACCTTTGGTCTCTTTACAACAGGAGGTGTTTGGGGAAAGCACAACCTCCAAGGACAGAGTAACACTGTGATTTAAAAACTGCACTGAATTGCTGTACTTATCTAAAATTGATTTAATACCATTATCCATATTAATATTTTTCCAGGTAACAAAAGGGATATTATAACTTTTCTTCTGCTGCATTCACCTAACCTATATTGATAGGGTAACTAAATAAACATCTTAAAAAACCAAGGGGCCTGGGGCTTCCCTGGTGGCGCAGTGGTTGAGAGTCCACCTGCCAATGCAGGGGACACGGGTTCGAGCCCTGGTCTGGGAGGATCCCACATGCCGCGGAGCAACTAGCCCCGTGAGCCATAATTACTGAGCCTGTGCGTCTGGAGCCTGTGCTCCGCAACAAGAGAGGCCGAGATAGTGAGAGGCCCGCGCACCGCGATGAGTGGCCCCCACTTGCCGCAACTGGAGAAAGCCCTTGCACAGAAACGAAGACCCAACACAACCATAAATAAATAAATAAATAAATAAATAAATAAAATTAAAAAAAAACAAAAAAAAAAACCAAGGGGCCAATGTTTTGAATCAATTTCAATTTAAATGTCAGTTGCTAGTTATAAAAACTTGAGAGCAAACCCTTAGGAAAACATTCATTATTTGAAGCAGAGCTGTCCTAAGATAATGCACACAAACCAACACAGTCTATTTAATAAAAATATTTAATGCTGCCAAAAAGTATAAAAATACAGTAGGAATGGCAGTACAATACAAAGTAGTCTTTCCTAATTTATTTCTTTTACATCTCTCTACATTTCACACACACATTAAAAAACTTAACAATGCATCAAATGAAAGGGCTCTGCAAAGTCTTCTGCTGGTGGTGCTCTTCGTTCCCTGGATGTAAGGTTTACTTTGTAAACAGACAAATGTGAGGCAATCTACAGGCTTATCAAGCCTCACTTAGTTTCCGGAGTGGGCTCCAGGTCTTGCTTTGCACATCAATGGTTCAAAATTTATAGCTGCAGAATATTCTCAAGTCATGAATATTTAGGTGTCTGTCAATCTTGGCCTAAAACATAAAATAAGAAGTCATCTATTCAATTCATATTTACCAAACACACAGACATACACAGATACACACAAACATAAAAGGACTAACAATGAACTAAAAAGGCAACCAAAAAACATTCCAACACATCACACTCAATCACACTGAGTGCTTTGCTGTTACCTTGGTAAAACTGCTTATGTGCTTGATTTTCAAACAGAATTGGTGGTGTGAGGTAGACTCATGTTAAAGCACCATAACTCTCACTCTTTTACAAGAATTAATAACTATGAATTTTTTTAGGTCATCCTGTATTACTCAAGAAATGACCTCCACGTGAGCTATACTGACAGACAGACAGTTAAAAAAAAAAATGTACCCAAAACAGTTTAGCAAGATTTTATGGTATGTGCTAGACTTACCAGTACTTTGGAATTCAATGCAAAAGTCTAATCCAATTTGGACCTCCACTGTATCATATTGCTAAAAATATTATGAATGTAATGTATGAACATAAAGTTGGCTTATATCTTTAACTCACGGACTGTTAGCAGCATGCTTTTTGTCCTGAAGGGTAATACTAATGATCACAGAAATACAGAACTGAAGTGACATGATTTAAGTATTAAAAGAAAACACAGACATAAAATAATTGATAGATTTATTGTACTTTAATGCCAAAAAGTAAAGATAAAACAAGTGATAGAGAGATGAAACAACAACTAATTTAAGGGCAGGTGAGTTTTTAATGTTATTTCACAATATTTGCAAATAGCTGAACTTCTGAGGTGGTAACTAGTATTTCCCCTCAACTTCCCTTGCTCTGACAAAAAAAAAAACCCAGATCTGAATACTTGTCATTATTGTGCCTCCACGTGTATAAACAGGAGATATAAACCACACTCACACATTTATCCAAAACATTTAGTCAAAACCCCCAATACTACAAGTTGGCTTCTTCCTGACTGCTGGCTCCTTGGTGTCTCATTTCCAGCACTGACAGAGAAATGTCCAGACACCAAGGAAGCATCCTTGTTAGGTGCCTGTGGTCACAGAAACTACCACAGGTGCTTCTTGCAGGGACCTGAGAAGCCTGAACCAAAGTGGCTGATGTGAGGAAAGGAGCTTCTGACTGACCCTGAGTGCTGCAAAATATGCATGTGTTTCCCACACCTTCAGAAGTCCCCTTGTTAAAACCAAGGAACTGATCCAGTCAGAGTGAATGAAATAATGGTTTGGTTTAGAGAGTGCTCTGATGTTCCATATTATACTCTGGCTCAGTGGTAGTTCAAACTGTTCTACAAAATTTTTTGGAGGGGAAAACTTTGATTTGTTTCACTTAAAAAATAAAGAGGGTTATTTTGGATTTTAATGGGTAACAGTAGCTGTCTAATACTTTTCCATTTAAATATTCCATAAAAACAGGTTGCGTGTGACACAATGGGAAAGTGTGAGGCCTGGAGTTACTGGGATTCTACAGACTGGAGTTCAAATCTCAGCTCTGTGATGATCTAGATGTACAACCTTGGGCAAGTTACTTATTCTTTGACTCAGTTTTCTCGTCTGAAAATCAGTTAACGGGATGCACCTTGGAGAGATGTATCTACTGACTGGCAGACCGGCAGGTGTTGCCTCCCCAGCAGTGTGTTAAAGACACACTCAGCAAGGATGAACTACCCCTTAGAACAACTAACAGGTCTTGACGGGCTGGCTCCACACTGAAGTAGTTCCTGCCACCAGATACTCATCCTTACTTTACTGAAAAGAGTCCCACATACTTCTCTGCGGTGAGCAAGGCACTCACTGCCTTACAGACAACATCAACTTACCCAGTGGGAAAATCCCTAATTCACCAAACTCAAAATAACTTCGGGTTTTTTATAGTAGTAATTTGAAATATCAACATCATCATATGTCTAAAAAATCTATGCCAAATTAGAGCAACAATAAAGAATTGATGCTTTTCTTTAAAAAATGGTCTCCATAAAGAAAAAAATTCCCATTCCATTCTCCTTATAGCTCCCTCAATATACCATGTGATGGAAAACCAGACAATAGTATTAAAGTAGACTCTGCAAGTAATATCCTCCCTAAATCCTAAAATTCCCATATTCCACTCTAAATTATAAAACCCAAACAGAAAGAGTACCAATGACTGGATTTTTCATTCTGCCACTGGACTGCACAGAGACGGTCATAGCGTTTGAGAATTCTCGTTGTCAGGTTGTTACTGATAAAGACAATCGCTCAACCCAACTAAAAGCCCCTCGGGCTGAGTCACTGCTTAGCCGGGGCAACATGACATCACTCATCCACATTCAGCAGAACAAGAGGACACCTGGCATTTCTAACTTATCTGCTGTTGTAGGGGCTGAGGGTGCTGCTGTCCCAGAAACAGTGCTTTGAAGACAGATACAAGGAAAGATGGAATCAAATCCAAACTAATGAACTAGGGAAAAGATGAAAGACACAGGTCAACTCCAGAATAAATCATCCAGGGGACGACCAAGACCTGTATTTTAAGTTAAAAGAACTTAATTTTATTATGTGAAAAAATACTGAATTTCTGTTTTTCAAAACTTTATTTATAAGATGACTATCATCTAGATAAGTCAACGCCAAATAAGGGTTTCCTGAAGTAAGAGAGACTTGAATAGCTGTGATGTAGAAATGGGAGCCCAGAACACGCCATCCCTGCCAGGCACTCAGCTCCAGCAGGGGATGGACATGGGAGTCCTAACCTCAGCCACCCCGCCCTTGTCCACGCTTTCTACCCCACTAACAAACCCACAGGGACCTGCTGGAACCAGAAATAAGTCAGTGCTGACGGAAGGTGTGACTCTTAGACTCTTGCCTGGACATAGGGAGAAACTGATGATAGACATAATGGCATTAGGCTTACAATATACTGCATTTTAAAAGTCTGTAAGACTCGTGTCTGAAAGTAAAAATCAAGGCAGACTAGATTTTAAAATCTGTACAATAACCAGCCAGTCACTCTGGAAATGTACTCACTAAAAGAGAGTATACAACAGTCAATAAAATATTTCTAACATAATCAGGTTCTAGCCTGTGTCTGTTCACACAGAATCTAGTCAGAGATATTTTTCTAAGAGGGGAACGACTTTCAGAAGTTAAATCTTTCTTTGAGAATTTAATTCTAAAATACACTCTACATGAGAGTCTTCAATGATGGCAACAGGAGAGAAGGTAGAAAGGTCAAGTCTCAGGCTGACTCTGGCTCAGCAACATCACCACCTGCTGCACGGGCTTGTTGTGAGGTTACCATGAGAACACGTGGGAAGCCCCAGCATGATGCCCAGCACCACGGAAATGACCTCTAAGTGGGAACAACCATCACTGTCAAGGACGCTGAAAGCAAAGACGGAACTGATACAGAAGCTGGAGGACTGCTCCATGCCAGAAACTACTTTTTAAACCAATATGTATTTTTTTAATTCAAACCGTCAATTCTAGTTTATTTGAAACAAAGGGGACACGCACAAGTGTACATAAAATTAACTTAAGGTCACAATTCCTTCCTCTGATGCACCTGTTATTTAAAAAAAAAAAAAATCAACTTTTTAACTTCCTTTCTCTTTCTTTGTTCATTCCTTGGTAGAAATACTAATACATAATGAAGTGGACCAAAAATATAGAAGAGGATAAGGACAGAGCAAATATATAAAACATCTAAACACGGAAGTGGTTTGTACATTACCAAAGTTCTCTATGCACTTTTACATCATTTTTATGCTACATATGGATAAACTAAATATGGAGAACTGTATTTGTAGATATTCTACACATGCAAGCATAGATAAAGATCAGTAGTAGGATGGCATAAAATGCTTGGCTGCACGTGGAAATGAGTACGGAGCCCATTGGTACAGCCAGAAAAGACGGTGCTGAATCAGGGGTGCTGTCAGTTTATCGGCAGGAGCAGATACAAACACAAATGAATTAGGTACTAATGCAGATAGTCTTTCTTAAAAATAATAAAGCTTCTGGCTTTTTTATTACGAAAATACCAGCACCTCATCGAAGTCAAACCGTACAACTGATTTTCAGCATCTGTTCTAATTAGAAAACATCACGAAGACACAAGTTCTGGGAAGATGCACACCCACCGTGGTTGCCGACTCCTCTGCTGTTCCCTGAAGGCAGGACCCCGCCTGGCCTGCCCCTCTGACTAGATGCTTTCTTTAATAAAGGTCAGGCACGTGGCCACGCATTTTCAGTAATTAGTATAGGGCACCCACCAAAAACACAATCCCTGGTAAAAATTCACATGCTCTCCTCAGGGATGTGCTTGGAGGAGGAAAGATGACTAACGTTTGCAGCAGCAGAAGTTTATCAACAAGTGTCCGCTACACCGGACACTTAAAAATCACCGGATGTGATTTAAAAAATACATTACGGCAAAAAAATAAAATAAAATAAAATAAAATAAAATACATTATGGCAAACATCTCCAGAAGGACGGGAAGCAAAGAGCAAAGCTGAAGCACTGAGCCCCACGAAGCACGTCCACCCTGCCCGGGGACAAGGGTATCATTATCAGCTTGTGTTTCCCATAAAGTCTTTGCCTTTTATTGAAAGCAAGGCGACCCACAGTTGGAACTGAATAGGTCTACCTGTATTTGACTTGCAGAGTAATATACTGTATTTTAGCAAAGATAAACCACAGCAAATTGGAAAGAAAGATTTTAAACCAATAACGACCTGCAATGTAAGGGTCATGGTGCCTGAACACAGGGGTGATGCAGGCAGACACAGCAACATCCCTCTTACCTCCTTCCATGTAAAGGTTACAGGACACAGTGGTGCTGAGCGGGGCGTGGGCACATGTGACACAAACTGTCCTCTACACACAGCACCACCTGCATCCTGCTCTCATACTCTCAGCATAACTCAACCCACTTGAGAAGGCTATTCGAACCAATTCAAAAGTCTATCTATACCGATGGTTTTCAAACTGTTGTTTAAATGATCACTGCCCACTGAAAATAATTAAACCTCGTGCAGCAATAGTACCTAGTATGTAAAGTGGATAAAGCAGAGACAGCCTACTTTATCTGTTGGAAGTAAAGGTTGGAGGTAAAGGTTGGCAGCTTGGGTTCCTTCCTACCACCTCCTGGTGACCCCTTAGAAATCCAACAAGCAAAGTTTGAAAACCACTGAAATAATGTGATTTCATTATTTCAGCAGATAAATTTATAACAACTATTTAAAGTTTAAGTAAAACAAGTTAAACACTGAAAGGAATGTTACGATCTGAAGAAAGCTAGCACTCAAATGAGCAGTTAGATTCATTAAACAATATGCTCTAAAAATACCCATTAAGAAGTTAAAGGGACAGTGTAGGTTTGAACATCATTATACTATTTATTGAAGTAGAAAGAACTTAAAAAAGTTTTTACTGCAAAACTTCAGTCTAATAAACTGAAATCATGGATGATAAAATGCTGCTCGTTATTTTTATTTCCTAAATTATGGTTTATCCCAATTATAAATTAGGATAATTACATTGAAATTTTCCTGAAAAATAAACAGTATTAATAATGGGCTTTACAGAAACCAGTTTCTTTACAAAGTCTTGACCAACTGTTACCTGACTACGCCAGTAAGGAGAATTTTCCTTCAAAGATATTTTTAGAGAAAATTTTTGTTTCTTTTTCTTTTTAAAATTGGGAAAACTGTAAAACATAAAAGAAATGCAAATATATCGTAAAAATTGCTTATTCAGAGTTCTACCTGCTCATATCAAACTTTTCTTTAGGAAAATGTATCCAGTACAATTGAATCAACATACACTTTATTATTTTTTTTATGGTAACAGATTTTTTTTCAAATTGAGCTTTTAAAAAGTACATTTAACTACAAAAGTAAGATTAAATAGGTACTTATAAAATATATTTACCCTGCAATGGTTAAGAATATAAAATGTTGATGCCCATGTGAACAGTACATTTATACATTACACGCATTACTTAAAGGTCATTTTCTTTCCAGTAATAATGTCCATAAAACCACAATATTTATTGCTTATATCAAGTGCAGGTTAAAATCCAGACAGCCTCCAAAAACGAATCCTCGTGATAAAGGACTTCTCAGTCTGGTCAGGTGAAATATTACACTTAACATGTATGAATACAGTTGAAAATGTACCAGTTCTTATGAAGCATTCAAGTCTTTATTTTAGGGAGCAGGTACAGTGTGGGCAGCGCCTTGGGGTGCTGAGGGGACTGCATACCCCAATTCTCTGTGGGTGTCTAGTCAACTGCACCGTCTGGTGTCTGAGGAGTTTGCTAACAGATGAACCCCTGTGATTCACGCAACACTGTCAGCTACCAGTGCTGAAGCTTGCGGGGCAAAATTAATTATTTATAGGGCATTTGGTTGAAAAAACAGTGTCCAGCCAACAAAAGCGCCAACCAAAATGACGGACACAAACCCCATCTTAGTGAGAATAGGTTGCCAATATAACCACCTTTTCCTTTTTCGTTCGGTCTCGTTCAGCCTCTGCTTCATCTGCTGCACCTTCTGAGCTGTGCTGGCTTTCCTGTCCTCCCGAAGGCGCTTGCGCAGAGCACTGTCAACAAACAAGAGCACATCAGCAGGACTGGGCTCAACCATGCAGGCAGAGCACAGCGCTGCCCCCGCTCCCCCCCCACCACTCCACCCGACTTCTCAACTCATTCAGACGCTGGAACAAAAAGGGGAAAGGCTTCAATACTCTAAATGGTCCAGAGATGCACTCAGGTAATTCAGTGACAATTGCTGGTACAGTTTTATGTAAATGAATATTTTTAGTAGGACCTGAAAAGAAGCATGGTATCAGTATTTTTTCTTTCTTTGCTAGCCAGCCAGCAGGAGTGGGAAGACAGAGGGTCCCCAGGCATCTTATCCCCTTTGGAGTTCATATTCGATTTTTCACAAAGGCCCCTATACTTAACATTTCCTTGAATATTCTGCTGTGCGAGTGCCTACTACTGTCTGCCCATCCCTTTTCTAGCTCCCATTTTCCTATTCAATACAGAATTTTTGTTCCAAAGGAAGCTCTCTGACTCTGGGATCATGGTCCCAGAACAACACAAAGAATGGCTGAAGGCAACATGAAAACTACTATTTTTTTCCCTTGAAAAAAATCTCACAAGCCTAAGATGGCGGCCACCATGAAGAAGACAGCAGCAGAAGATGTCAATGTTACTTTTGAAAATCAACAAAAGACATACAGATTTGCATGGAATACAAGCAGAATCACAGAGCTGAAGGAAGAAACAGAAGTAAAAAAGAAACAACTCCCAAACTTAGAAGATGCTTGTTAGGACACCATGCTTGCAGACGAGGACTGCTTAATGACACCTCAACAGACTGGTGATGTTTTCATTAGCCATTCTCAAGAAGAAACATGAGAAATCCTAGAAGAAGCAAAGAAAAACTTGCAAGAAGAAACTGACGCCTTACCATCCAGAGTGGAATCAATTCAGTGGGTGCTAGCAGATTTGAGAGTTCAGTTATATGAAAAATTGGGGAGCAACACAAACGCTGAAGCTGATGAAAGCTAAACATTTTATAGCACCAAATGATATGCAAAGCAAAACTTACAATTGTTTTCACTTATTTAATGGAAACTTGCCTATTTTCACATCTTGCTTATTTATGTTTTTAAAAGAAGGCAGTATTCATCTATGTATTTTGCATAACAATTATATAAAGTGTAGGGGTTTTATGTCATGTTATTAAAATCAGTTAATAAAAAAAAAATCTCACAAAATCCATCTCCTCTTTTCACTTACTGCTTATATTACAGCAAAAGCCTAACCAGTTTCCATGCCTTCACAGTAAATACTCCGCCCCAGTAATTATTCTGAAGCATAGCTCTGATGGTATGGCTTGATTAAAAATCTTGAATGCCTTTTCAGCATCTACTACATTAAGAGGCAGCTTTTTTCCTGGCCCAAATGTTTACCCTGTATCTAACAGTGAAAAACAATCAGAGGAATCCAGATTGTGAGGCATCCTAAAAGGCAATTCATCTATAAGCTGCAATGTCCAGTAACGGGGGAAAACTAAAGGTGGTGGACAGTCCCAGGTTAAAGGAGACTAAAGAACCACATCAACCAAATACAATGCATGATCCTGGATCAGATCTTGAATTATTTTTTAAAATAGCTATAGAGACTGGGATCATAAAAATGTTCCAAAATTACATTATGGCGATGGCCACAAAACTCTGTACATATACTCAATCCAGTAAACTGTACGCTCTAAATTTTGTGAACTCTATGGTATGTAAATTATATCTCAGTACAGTTATTTTCTGTAAAGCTTTAAGGTGGATTTTTTTTAATAATTAGAGAACTCTGAATATGGACTACATATCAGATTATTTTATCAACGTTAAATTACATGGGAATATTGGCACCTTCAGACATTGCTGGTGGGAAGGTGAAGTGATGCAGCCGCTTGGAAAACTGGCCAAAAAATGCTCAACACGGAGTGGCCACGTGTGGCCCAGCAATCCCACTCCTAGTTACACACCCAAAACACAAGAGCACGTGTTCTCCTGCCATGTACAACCTTGTTCTTGCCCAAATGTTTTTCTTTTTTGCTGTTCTCCAAGTTTGTTTCCTTCTAAACTAAGAAACCTCTTCTCTCTGGTTCTCTCACCCTCTAGAGCCCTTCTATTCTCATCCTACGGCATTTCATTTATAGTAAATAATTTATGTTGCTAGTCTGGGTTCTTGTTTTGTCCCTTAAGTGTATTAGCAACTTGGGGACTATATTTTGCTCATCTCCATATGCTTTGCAGTCTTCCTAATGTCTTTTTCACTTTAACTTATCACACACACAGGTATCTCTGGCTGTGTGAACTCTACCTGAATATTTCCTACAATGACTTGCAAAAATTATTACTCAGAATTCACTCTCTAGACTGAAAATTCACTATAACAAGTATGTATGTACCTGCCAATAAAACAAATTACACTGTAGTCAAGATCAGACAAAACATATATAAAATATATAAAAGGATACAGAGCTCCCAGTGTTATTTCCTGACTTAAAACTAGTAAATCTAATGTAGAAGAAGAAACAACTTTATGCTTTAGCGTGTAGTCTAAACCACTGAAGCCACACACAAGGAGTAGCACTGCTAAGTCATAATAAACTCTTCAATATGATATATAGCAACTTACTATGTACTGTAATATGCTACCTTTTATAAAATTTCAGGCAATTTTTATATTGGGGAAATACAGAACTGAAGCTATAATGTATGGGAGACCTTAACGATTTTCACAGCACATCCCAAGATCCCACTGTAACAAATATGACTACAGCATAAAATTTTCCACAAGAAAAAGCATATCTGACAAAAAGAAAAGAAAAAAAGTCTTTCAGAGATATTGAAGAGAGGGAGTAAAAGAGCTCATTCACTTTTCTGAGAGACTCACACCTCAGGACACCAGCTTCGTAATGTGTGAGATATTTGGAGCCTGAGAAACGTAATTTTTCACATTTAAAAACTTGAAGAGTTTACACATTCGTATGGATTCAAAACTCAAAAAGTATAGGGCATTTTATGTGATTTTTTTTGAAAAATATTTTTTCTTCCAATAACAGAATTAAGTTGAAATATTCATTTAATTATTTCATAATGGTATTAAAGGCATATTATCAATTACATTGTAACAGCGTGAACACTATATGTACAAATGGCAGGTATTCATACTCTGTTTTCTGCATCATACTACACATTTTAGCATCTAATTATATTAACTCTTACACTCAATAAGTATTGTGTTAAACCATTTTCCAACAGGTTTCCGTCTTTAAGTATTAGCTTCTTTGAGATCAATGATGTCATTACATACTACTTAAATGCCCTTAAGTAATAAATAAATGGTTACATTAATTCAATACACTAAGGGTCTATATTAGTTCCCATCCACAGAACTTATTAAAATAAAAGTCTCATCTTTTCAAGCACTGTTATTGCAGTAACCTTACCTCTCGCTGTTTTCCTCCAGAGTATCTTGCATTTTAGAAGACAGTCCTGTATACCTGTCACTTGTCAGTTTTTCTTCTTCTAGGCCTATCCTGTTCCCGTTGTATTTTTCAGTCATTATTTTGGTTGTTGAATGATCGAAAACAGGACATACATCTTCCTTAGAAAGTTCTTTCCACCGTTTCTAAGTAGGGAAATGAGAAACAAATGCAAACACTAAAGTTTTGACTTTCCTTAAATAAAATTTATGAAACTGAAATTCTATATTTAAGAAAACCCTGTGATGCTAACATATGAATGAAAAAGAAAAACGTGTTTTGTAATACCACTTCTAGCTACGTCTATTTTAAGTTGAATATTTAATAATAATAAAGCATTTTTAATAAATCTATCTATCTATCTATCTTAGTTGCGTTGGGTCTTCATTGCTGCGCGTGGGCTTTCTCTAGTTGTGGTGAGTGGGGGCTACTGTTCGCTGTGGTGCATGGGCTTCTCAACGCGGTGGTTTCTCTTGTTGTGGAGCACAGGCTCTAGGCACACGGGTTTCAGTAGTTGTGGCACGTGGGCTCAGTAGTTGTGACTTGTGGGCTCTAGAGCATAGGCTCAGTAGTTGTGGCGCACGGGCTTAGCTGCTCTGCGGCATGTGGGATCCTCCCGGACCAGGGCTTGAACCTGTGTCCCCTGCATTAGCAGGAGGATTCTGAACCACTGTGCCACCAGGGAAGTCCCAATAATAAAGCATTTAATATTGATGAACATCAGTATGTAGTTGAATACAATAATCTTAATAAAATGTAGTGACTTTAACCTCACCAAAATATTGGTCTTAGTAAGAAGATCTTCGCCAAAGTCAGATTGTGCCGTCTCCTAATCCAGAGGCATGTGCCTCTGGAAGAGTGACCAAGATGGCCCTTGAACGTGACCCAGTGTGCCGTGCTCATTGCCACTGTCCAGTTTAGCGGAGAACCAATGGTGAGACCTCCCAGCAGGTTCCTGCAGTGCCAGAGGCCTTCAAGTTGACTGTCCCCACCAGGTATACCAGCAGCCCAGGCAGCTGGCTGGACACTGGGTTGGGAAGACTCCTCAGCACGCCTGGACTTCAGATCAGGCAGGATTCAGACCAAGATGAAGAGACAGCCTATCTTCCTCCAATGAAACAGGACTGTCACCTGCCATGGGACTTGTTGTGACTAATGAGATGACAGCTAAGGAGTAGCAGAGTCAGAATTTGAACCCCTCACAAGGCTCTGCATCTCGGAAATAATCATCAGTGTCAGACACCAGATAGTTTAAGTATCCAACAAAAATGTTAACTGTCTCCAGAATGCATGCTGGCCAATTCTTCACTGAGATCTAGTTACAGCAACTTGGCCTTATACTTGGACAAAACTCAACAATGTCAATAAACAAGATGATGCCAAAAACCAAGTCTTACTGGAACACTTCCCAGAATATGCAACAAATCCAGAATCTGTCAACAAGAAGAGTCAGCAGGAGGGTGGGGGAGAAAGAGAGATTTAATACTAGTGAATTTTAAAAAGAAAAAACAAAGGGCAATGTCATTTTGCCAGGTCTCTGGGCAGCAAACTCATTCAACTTTGCCTCCCCTGTGACACACATGGCAAGCAGGCTCCAGGCTCACCTGCCTCGGCGGTGCTGCCGATGCTGCCGACTGTGAGGCCAGGGACCCAGCACTGCCCTCGGCTACCATTTGGAGCAGACGGGGCTGCTCACCTCCCCCAACTGCACACTCAGCTGAACCG